CAAAGTCCCAATCTATTGGTGGTTATCGTCTATTAGTCCTCGACGGCCATGAAAGCCACCACTCCGACGAATTTGAGGAATATTGCAAGGAAAACAACATTATCACTCTTTGTATGCCTGCTCATTCTTCTCATATACTCCAGCCACTCGACGTTGGCTGTTTTAGCCCTTTGAAAAGGGCATATGGTCAGCAAATTGAAGATATGATGCGGGCTCCGATCATCCATATTACTAAGGATGATTTCTTTCCTGCCTTCCACGCCGCATTTAATATTGCAATGACAGAAAGCAATATCCGAGGAGGGTTCCGAGGGGCTGGGCTTCTTCCATTTGACCCAGAAAGTGTAATTTCTACACTTGATCTTAAGCTAAAGACGCCAACGCCTCCAAACTCCCCCCCGTATTCCGCTCAGCCTTGGGTTTCCCAGACACCAAATAACCCTACTGAAGCCTTATCACAGACTGCATTTATTAAAGATCGAATTTTACGCCACCAAAGTAGCTCTCCAACCCCTATTTACGAGGCCATTGACCAGTTTACGAAGGGTGCATCAAAAGTAATGCACCAGATAGTACTATTGAAAGCTGAGAACCAGAGACTTCGACAAGCAAATGAAGTACTAAGTAAGCGCCGTAGAGCTAAAAAAAACACGCCTACAGCAAGGAGGATCACTTAGTCAACAGGAAGCGCAGGACCTACAGGATGATAGAGACGTTGGTGAGCAGGTAATGCAGGAAATAAAGAGAAGTAGTGGTCGGAAGCCGAGGGAGGAATCACGTGCACGGCGCTGTGGCAACTGCGGAGAGACTGGTCATAATACGCGCACCTGTAATATTATAGAGGAAGTATCTGAGGAAGAAATTTCTGAATAGTGTTTTTTAATTAGAGGCGTTGTGGTAGAGTTCTTACAATTTCAATCGCGAGTGTAGAAAATTTTGGCCGGTTCGCTTGTTTGGCCGGTTCGCTATACATGCACGTTATACCTTGTAGGAAACTAACGGTTATACTAAAAAGCTTTTCTAAAATTTACAAGATTAGGAACCGACTAGTATAAAGAGTTAATTAACCTCTGTCTTATAAGGCGCTTTATAACTGTTGGTACGACCTGGTAGTCGTAAGAAGGTGATACACAAATATAATCTCTGTTTGTATTCATTCGTGTGTGAAGAGTAAAGGTAAAGAGAGGTGGTACCCTACAAGCTTAAGTATATGAGTGGCAAGCCACTCACATGACCTAAAGCATATAGATCCACCAGGCTCTCGTACAAGGTGCTATTCACCAGAATTATATACCGACAATAACATATATGATATACAGGAAGATAATACCGGGACATTATAGAAAAAATAAAACAAAAATAGAATTAATTCTAATATTCGACATAGTTTCTTAGGGGTTTAGAAATAGTGTTGTTCTGAAATTTGCCTGAGATCTAGCCAACAATTTCCCGTCTATAGTAGGGCCTACTATTGACCTTGACCTCCTTTTCCCGGCCCACCCGTCTTTACCTTGCATCGACAGGTAAGTTTATCGGTAAATGGGTTGCATCTTGCTCTTTCAACACCCTAAGATCACATCAATTAGTAGTTATTCTAGACTTATATAACAGAGGTATTTACATCTGGACATTCTCCCTCACAGAGCTTAGGATCTTCAACACATGTGGTGGCGGGGGGGGGACTATCGTTACTTTTCCCTTGGGCAACGACCAAAGAAAAGAGGGCAAGGGAGAAGACGAGTGTGAATTTCATGTCGATAGTGGTGGTTTCGTTATCTTGGATGGAATGGTAGAAATGGAGGTATTGTAAGGGTATGAAGATTTTGATATGTTGATTTTGGAGAACAGGAAGATTGGACGTGAGAGAATTGAATGTCTTCTGGGGAGAGTAGACTTCTAGCCACTCAAGAGTATCTGGACAAGCCTTAGTACTATCCACTATCGTGCCACCCAAATTTCCTAGAGACGATTTATCACGGTATACACGTTTCCCATATAAGATCTACGTGACAGTGTCTAGCGTTGGCCGTCCACCCTCTCTAGATATCCAAGTCTCAAATGCGTAGAAACATAGTGTTCTCAAAGAGTTCATTTAATTTCTACAGGGATTCTCTACAAGAAAATATGCCGGTATGATTCCGTTTCATTTCTATTAAATTCGAAAGATACAACTAAATTTCTTTCCAAAAAACGAGCAGTTATTATATCTATTTTATTGATTAAAGATCTCATTAGAATTGCAGGAATGGTCGTCGGTTGGCTTAGGATTGTCTTTAACCCGTAAATTAAACCCATTGTCGGGATTCCGGTATGTTTTCCACGGTACAAGTACTAATGCTCGATTATAGGTTAGGATAAAAGATTTACTTTCCCACAGAGAGTGTGGAATACAACGGGTGGGCAAATTATGAAAGGTAAGAAAAGTGGATATTATACACGTTTATGTTATCTATTTTCGTTAGTTAACCATATGTTCTAGATATCCCACGAAATCTAATCTAGATTATTGCTCTTAAAAAGGCTCTACCTGCTCTTGAATTTCACTAGCGACGTCTAATAAAAAGCGTGAAATATATATTTCGACGGTTAAGGGGGAAAATGCCTACCGTGTTTTATTCAATAAACACATTGCAGCTCATATTACTATGAAGAACGTGATCGTACCCCCCGCGTTCCTCTCGAATATTCTTGCTATTATCCTAGGTGACCTCGTAAAGCGCGAAGTCCTCCTCTCTTAGTCCTCCTTTTACTTATATACACTTGAATTCAAGGATGAAGGGCCAGGAAGTTTATTGCTGCCGAATTTGGCGGGCGATTTTACTGCCAGCCTAAAATCAGCTAATTCATTCGATAGATTAGGGGATTGAATCTGTTCTCTAACAGCTACCTAATGGTATTGTCGACGACATAATAGGATCGCCGATTGCAGCTTGACATTTTTACTCTCGTACCCTCAACTAACTCAACTAGTGACGTATGTTCTCTTGGTATAAATGTAACACAAGAGCTATTTATAAGCAACAGGTAGGTGGCTAGGAATCTGTGGTTGTAGAACCATTAGGTAGCCGCCGTCGGGTTGCTAGTTCGTACCTTCCTCGTGGTGTCATAGACTTCATTTTCAATCCATCGTAAAATTACACCCTTTTAGGAAGGTGCGATCCAGGAAATGGGAAAGCTGAAAGAGCAATGCAGGTGATACGTACTTAACTGGCTTGTGCTCAGGTTCCTAGGTTGTTTACTACAAGGATGTAGTTTTAGCGGTCATGGTACCCGTTCCTACGAAGGAAGGCGCGATCTGTGCTATGGTAACCCCGGATTTGCTGATTTGACCAATTAGACTATTGCAACTGCCGTACAATAGATTTGCGGAATACTATTATGGCAGTCACTAATACGATAATCCATTCTATAATAAACTTTTTATGTGGCTTGTTACGGTGTGGATCAAGTGGGGTGGTGGGTGTGGAATAAGGAATGAGGAATGGAATGTGGCAAGTAAACACTACATAACATGCAAATCTATATGAGGGTCTATGTTCCCTACCCCTTGTTGCTTCTCTACTACTCCTATCCGCCTATGTCGCCGTAGAGCTGGTGCTAGACATAAACCAAAGGTAAAATAATCGTAGCTAGGATTAGCTTTACTTTTTGCTTGTCTGGGTATAGGGGACTTGCGAGGCGTTGTGCTTTTATTACTTATTATTTATCTTCCTAGGAGAGGGGTGTGCTTTAATCAATAATTAACTTTAATTATTAATTTTAATAACGAATCATTCGCATCCTAGAAGTGATCAAATAATACTGTCTATTCCACCATGCGTACTAATTGGCGAATCACTGGTAGTGTTGATCAATTCGTTAATTTGAGGATTACAATAGCACAGATCGACATAATTAGGAAATAGCGTAACATAGGTGTGACCTTTTCTGGCAACACACTGTAACATTACAAGTCAAATACCTTGAATAATAACCTTGAGCGAAGGATCACTTCAGAGACAAGGAGAAAGTGTCCCGTGACTCACCTTAAGATGGAAAGACTTAAGGACGGGGGGACGGCTCTCCCCAAGTTCAAGCATATATTGAATATATGAAATAGAGACAACTGATTTGAAGCTGAATCATGTGGTTCTCGAGCTTCCTTCTTCTTCAAGTATTTGTAACCGCAATACTAGCGTCTCCTACAGTGTGCTTAATCCGTCATGATGAAAAGCCGGCAGATGGAGACGATGGCCTTAATATCAAGGGAGAACAACGCGCGCAGTGCCAAGAGACATTTTTGGTACTAATTCAGGATATAATATTGACAAGATAATAGTTCAAAAACCAAAGAAGAGTTAGTATTCCTCTCCGTTTTGAATGTATCCGCAAGTGGTCTATTCAACAAAGGTTATCAGCCCTAACATAGTTCTAAGACGGAAAACGAGCACGCCCATTCTTAACCGTTCTCCCTCTTTCCAAGGACTTACAGTTAGATATCGACACGCGATGCGATCGAGACGATGAGGATTGTGTAACTTCTTTGGTGTCCGTTTTCAAGGCATCTGGCTCGTCTGGGAATATCTTGATTTACTGGGAACATAAAGCTCTTCAGAATATCGTGCAAGCATTAGGGAACAAAGATCCGCCGGAGTACCCAAAAAACACGTGAGTAATTATAACTATTTTCATGCTTGTGGACAAGAAGCTAAACATTTTGGTGGGTAGTTTTGACTTGATCTGGTCGGATCTTTACCCATACACTCACATAACATCTTCTGTGTCTGAAAAATGTGAAGGATTAGATACTAAACCGCGAGATTAGCTTAATTGAGATGAGATCATTGTTAGTTGTGTATGCAATATATAGGGTGGTGGGAAGGAAGGAAGAGGCACGAGAGGTACAGGTGGGGAAGGGGATGAAAGATTTGCCGAGGGCCGCTCGGTCAAAACTCGGAGTACATCTTGGCTATCAACTCAACTACTAGCTCTTATCATTCATCTTGTACACCCCACGTTCCCACCTCCCACCCTTCATATCATCTCCGTATCATTCATTGGACCAGTATCACGGTTTATTCCATTAGGATATCACTATATCAAGGTAGCTCGACAAGTCCGGACATGGAGATGCCGGGTTGAGTGCACTACAACATCATGTACTGGCCCGATTGATTATCACGCATACCATCCCTTACTTTCATTTTCCTTCCCCATCTTCACTTTCGCTCTCTCACCCGTTCTCACCTCTAAAGTACATCTACCATGGCAGCAGTTATTACAACAAAATCCGGAGCAACGTGGCAGGAGATCGCAGCCGATAGGCAAAGACACCGCGATGCTACTATCGCCGAAATCCAACCTACTTTCCCGGAATCATTACCAGAGATAACTGTCAATACTCTCCGTATTGCAAAAGGATTACTTACTCCAGAAGAAATCAAGATTACTGAAACCACGACTGAAATACTTGTGGAACAATTGGCGAATAGTCAGATTAGTGCCACTAATGTTATTAAAGCGTTCCTTCGACGTGCTGCGCTGGCACAGAAATTAGTACGAAGTCGCAATTTGTTTTCAATAGATGATACTGATCCTCTTGCCATCTAGACCAATTGTGTCACCGAGCTTCTTCCCTCCCGAGCCCTCGAACGTGCTGCCTTTCTCGATGATTACCTCGCTCAAAATGGCAAGCCGATCGGCCCTTTACATGGTATCCCTATTAGTGTCAAAGAGCACATTGGTATGAAGGGCTTGGATCGCAATGCTGGGTACGTTGGTTGGGTTGGAGGCGTTGCTGATAATGACGCCTTGATTCTACGCATTTTATGGCAGGCCGGTGCTGTTTTCTATGCCAGAACCACGCAACCACAGTCTTTGATGCACTTGGAGACAAGTTCCAATTTATATGGGTATAAAACGCATAGCGAGGGCAGGTAATTCGCTATTTGTACTAACAAAAAATCAGGGTAACAACGAATCCATTCAACACCAGTCTAACTTCCGGAGGTTCCTCTGGCGGGGAAGGATCCCTGATCGGGTTTAGAGGCTCCTGTTTGGGCATTGGTACAGATATTGGCGGATCAATTCGCTGTCCATCTGCTTGTTGTGGTATGCCATAGGAAAACACCTGTTATTCTGTTATTGATTGGGTACAGGTATTTATGGAATGAAACCCACCTCGGCTCGTCTCCCATTTTCTGGATTATTATACTGCGGAGGAGGGCAAGAGCAGATAATTCCGGCGATTGGGCCCATGTCAACTAGTTTAGAAGGCTGCAAGCTGTTTCTCAAAACTGTCATCGACGTAAAACCTTGGTATCAGGAACCATCTTTGCTTCCTTTCCCATGGAAAGACGAGAACTTCTTCCAAGGTAAAAAGCTCAAGGTGGCGGTTATATGGGACGACGGTGTGGTCAAACCACATCCTCCAGTTCTTAGAGCTTTGAAGCAGCTCGTTGAGAAGCTGAAAGAGAAGGACAATATCGAAGTCGTTGATTGGCTGCCATACAAGCATGAACTTGCTTGGGAGCTAATAGTAAGTCATTACAAGGTTTTAGTATCCAAATATTGATATATTTATAGGCTAATCTATACTTTTGCGATGGCGGCGCTGAGCAAATTGCAGCAATTGGAAGTTCTGGGGAGCCGTTCCGTCCACTCTCGGACCATATCCTTAAGAATAAATATGTTACTGCTCATACTGTTCCTTCTCTATATAAAGCGACAATGAAGAGGGACGCTTATCGAACCGAGTACGCAAACCTTTGGAATTCTACTGCTACATCGACTGGACCATGTGGTGAACTTGAAGGCATGGTAGATGTTATTCTTTGCCCCGCCGGGCCTGGATCTGCACCTAAAATTGGTACATCAAAGTGGTGGGGTTATACTAGCCAGTGGAACCTTCTTGATTATCCAGGAATTGTTTTTCCAGTCGATAAGGTCGACATCTCGAGAGATTCGACCAGCGTGACGCACGAGCCTATAAATGAATGGGATAAAGAGAACTGGAAGTTGTGGGAAGAACACGGTGCTGAAGGATATCAAGATGCTCCTATAAGTCTGCAACTTGTCGGTCGAAGGTGGGTGATTGAATTGGGGGTAAGTGCACCCTATTACAGTACTAACGAAAGAGTAGATACGAAGATGAGAAAGTCGTGCAAGCACTTGAGATCATTCAGCGGGAAACGGGAGTGCCATTCGTCTCGTATACTTGAAGATACTTGCTGTTGAATGAGCACAGCATGGCTTGCTTGAGTACTTTTCTGTACCAGCTGATTCCCGAAGTTAACACAGCTGCAGTGACGCTATCCGGTGATGGCACCTAGATGCGAACCGATTGGTCCTTAGTTGCAGATTTCAGTTCAATCAGTTGCTGTGCGGTTGGTTTTGAACCTATCATGTTACCCGCCTTGATCTTTTTACGACTCTGCCTGAGAATTTGTTTTCGATGCGACTTACCCCGCGTCTCTATGATTGTTACTGTAGAGTGGATCCCACCCTGGCCACGTTACTAGGCCCAATCTTTGATTCTGCATTCTTTTCCATGCTTACCTTTCTTTTATGACAGTTATGAGAGCAGCAAGAAATTTCATTCGTGCTTGACCTTGAAAGTCGTGTAGGTCGACGACGGTGGCGTCTCTAAAACGGGGTAGAAATCAGGTGCTGTCATTTATAGATGGTGCACTTGTACTACCCTAAATAGACATACTAAGAAACATTCATAGCGAGTGCTAGTTTGGTGCAAGGGACTATAACGTTGTTCCCGCAACTTATTCGCCCGAGTTCAAATAGAGTCGCGGCTACAGTACTGTCTATTTCTAAGTATCTTTATTACTACCCAATTGAGAATATTTTACATACGCTTTTCACGAAACACAGCCCTCAAATCGAACATTAATTTTCCAGGTTCTGCAGAAAATATTGCGTAAACTTGGACGACCTGTCACTCTTGCTTTTGACTGACGTGTCGCTACGTTCTAGTTGGCAATCTTTCTGGCCTCTTGTGCCCATTCTATCCATAGCCTCGACGTATTTGAGGTGAGATTTCAATGCATGGTCAAATGAAAGAAACCAAAACATGCCAAATTTGGGTGGTAAATATGCATATATGCCCAAAGCGTGGGCGTACTTGTATATGCGCCTTTTAATTGAAGGGACTCGATGTTATTTGATGTTAACTCGCATTAGAGCTCTTCCCCACTTGCCGATCCCCGTTTTCTGTCACGACACTTGCCGAATTCTCCAACGGTCTTTGTGGACTTGGAATTGGTTTATATTTGCTGATACCTCTCTTGTTCCTATACTATTTTCAGAGCATATCCTACTAGGAATTTATTGCACTTATCGCTATCTCAATATAGTATTCTCTTTTCCCAAACAAACCATCAATAAGCAAACCCCACACCTATACCGAATTCATCCTATCAATATGTCTGAACTCGACGCCCGTGAAGCTGCCTTGGTTCTCCGTGAGGAGGCAGTCGTCATTCGAGAAGCCCAACTCGCCGCTGGTGAGGCTGCATTTGCCAGCAAAGAGGAAACACATACGGGTCCGGAAGCTGAAGCTCAAGACTTTTTTTCCAAAATCGAAGACGAAGGTGAGGCTCAATCACAACTCCAACAAGTGCCAGAGCTTGTTTCGGAGGGGAGAGGTGAAGTGGCTGTCCTCGAATTAATGGGAGAGCAGGCAGCGGAGGTGGATAAAGCAAAAGATGACTTGAAGACTGAGGAGTTTCACCCTACTCAAGATCCTGAGTATGTTGCAGATTCGCAGGCAGGAGCTAGTGGGGGCGTGAATGGAGATTCAACCGAGGAAGGAGTGAAAGTCAAGGTTGAGGATAAGGAAGTGGCGTCCCAGGAGTTGACACCCGATCATACGCTAGAGGGAGAACACAAAATAGTTGATGCATCACCAAAGGCTCAAGCGGAACCATCAAAAGTAATTCCAGAGTCTGGCGAAGAAACACCGTCTACCAAGGCACTAACACAAGCTTTGCCAGAGGATATCCATCCAACTAGGGGAACAAAACAAACCGTCCAGCCTCACGAAACCAAAGATATCCAAGCACTCAAGTCAGAGGTTCCTCCTCGGGACGAGCCGACAGATACCCCCGAAAAGGACCCTTCGTCGGCGCCAATCGATGAACCTACCTTGACGGGAGAGAAAATGGACATTCATGAACCAAACGTGGAATCCGCTTCTATCAGTAGGGTTGAAACCACAGCTCCTGTACTACAGGATACTACCCCTGACACTGGAGTGGAATCTACTGAAGAACAAGCGGAGAGATTCTTAGCAGAGAGGTCTGCATCTGAACCTGAAAGCAGCATCAAGGGAGGGCTTCCTAGTCCTACTCCAGCGGAGAAAAGCTTGCTTCCTGAAGCTCAATCTGGGAATACCATGGAGGGTGGAAAACCCACCCCCGCTTCAGCTTCAACTCGTTTAGACGAGTCTAAAGTGGGTGAAGGTGAAAACACCATAGTTCCTCACGAGGGCCCGGCATCGACCCAAGATGAAGATGTTTCCGACACCAACCCCAATGCATCTACTTCAACTGACGAGACCGAACATCTAGCAATGCCAATTGAACGTAAAGTTGATGAGCCAGTCGAGAAGGCCGAAGCGACTCAGGACGAGGTTTCTAACACTGTTAAGAAAGTGACATTTGAGGCTGAGGATGCATCACCAGACCTTGCCAAAGAAGTTCAGAATCCTCTTGAGGAAGGAAATTTTGCTGTAAATAGGGGATTGCCTGTGCAAGGTCAATCGGTGTAAGATTTTGTTGAGCGTACTATAAGGACTTGGGCATGAGGGTGAGGATTAGGGAATTTTCGGTAAGGTTATTTTGAGGCTGTTAGCCAGATTTTAAAATGGTGGAGTATAGGAAGTTGAATAGGAGCGTTTTGCTTTTTTGTGGTCGGTTGCTAATCTTTGGTATCTCAGTAGTGTGTGGAAGATTGTCTACCAAGTTTGGAAAAGATTTCGAATGATACTTGACTTTTCCGCCTCGAGCCTCGAGGTAGTCTATACGCTTTCTCCAGGTCGTTATTTATTTTCTCTGAAATAATTGCAATAAAGGGCGTTTCTTGAACGCGCAAATCCGGGTACATGTACCGGAGATATGAAACGATCTTCAACAAGGGAATTCTATCTCCGACGGAGCTTATTCTGCAAAATTCTCCATACATAATCAATGAGTTTCTAAATTTGCACCAGTCTACGACCATGAACATTTGTTGGTATTTTCTAACTGCTTTCCCTTGGAGTTCCGGGTTCATATTCTTCGCGGATCGACATTTCATTGGTTAGTGCCCGCGGTTAATTATTGGCTTACCTTATTCTCGTTGAACTCTACGATAGTAATTAGTAATTGTGTGCACAGCTCGTGTCTTCTGAGTTCTGATTGCTTCCGAGATAGTGGAGAATCCTGTTGTCATTGGTTTATCGTGCTTATGCCAGATACGAGCCTCAACTTTTACGTTGTTAGTTCCTCTATGCTTGGGTGGATTAGTATCTTATTGGTCGTGCGCGGCGGCTGTTGTCTGTTGTTAGTACATATATCTGATCTCAGGACGAAAATGGTCGCTCAATGTTTCGGCGTTACTGTAACAATCGAAAATGAGGTTGCTTATGTTATTCCTAAGTTGGTCCTCACAATGACTCCAAAAAATGATAGCTTATACATACATTCGCCCTGAGGAAATCGTGAAAGTATTATTGATATACAAAGCAGGTGCTACGCTTGAGAAAAAGTATCCTGCTTCTCCATTGAGCTTTACCCACTTCTACTCTACAAACACCAACATTTATCAAACAAAAGTATTATATTCTCCCTGAAGCCATTACTTCGCCTTCAAGTAACAATGAAGACAATTCTCGTCCTCGGCGGATCCTTCGCCGGAATCATCTCTGCACATCGTCTCCTCAAACAACAACCAAAAGGATCAATTAAAATTATTCTGGTTGCACCAAATACACACGCCTACTGGATTATCGCCGCAGCGAGAGCAATGATCGCTGGTCAAATTCCCGAAGAGAAAGTCTTTATGCCAATCGCAGCTGGCTTTGAAAAGTACTCAGCTTCGCAGTTTGAGTTTGTTCTTGGAACGGCAGAGTTTCTTGATACAGATACAAAGAATGTTGTTGTTGCTACCGAGGGCGGTAATAAAACTATCAACTACGATATTGCTGTTCTTGCCACGGGATCGAGTATGAAAGGCGATCTCCCTTTCAAGCCAAAAGGAACCACAGATGATCTAAAGAAAGAATTGAAGAAGTACCAGACGCTGATTTCAAATGCAAATGATATTGTGGTCGGTGGGGCGGGGGTAACTGGCGTTGAGACAGCTGGGGAGTTGGCATTTGAATATGGAAGTTCAAAGACAATCACTCTAGTAAGGCAATTCTTTCCACTGGGTTTCACAGTCATTTACAGTGCAGCTTTGGGGGTAATTTCAAATGAGGATTAGAAGACTAACTTCGTCCCGCAGATTTCTAGTCGCCCAACAATTCTCGAAGGCATCGTGCCCTCAAACGTCATCAAAACTGCAACAAAACAACTAGAAAGCTTAGGAGTAATATTGAAACTCAACACGAGAATCGAAAGCTCATCAAAAGCAAAAGACGGCCGTGAGGAATTGAGCTTTTCAAATGGACAGAAAGTGAAGACAGATCTTTACCTACAGACTGTCGGCATGGTACCAAATACATCCTACATGAAACCAGAACTTCTTGGTCCTGGAGGCTTTGTCTCGCCTGACGAACACTTAAGGGTGAAGAATGTAAAGGATGTCTGGGCTGTGGGAGACGTTTCTGACATTCAACGTGCTCAAATATTACACCTTGATGGGCAGACTGCCCATCTAGCAAAGAATCTGGGGTTGGTCCTTTCTGGCAAAGAACCCGTGGCATTTAATTCCAAGGTAATTGGTGCGTATAATTCTATTGTCCCGGGCATTGTTATTGAAGAGTGGTTGCTGATTCATCTTTTCCTTCAGATATACTTGGTTTTCAGGTCGGTCGTGAGATGGGAACTGGACATGTCGCTGGCTGGAGGTTGCCTAGCTTTCTCGTTAGCTACATCAAGAAGACTTTGCTGGTTGAGAAACTACCTGGGCTTGTACATGGGACGGAGTACCCATAATTTCAGGTGACTTAGGAGTTTTAGAAGAGTTGGTTTCTGTAACGAACATGTTAAAAGGGTTATAATATACTAGAATAGGGTCATATTTTGGAAATTTCATTCTATCGTAAAGTAGCGCAACTCTGAAGATGTTGGAAATTTTGTTTCTTGACGTGCTAGAATCTTTCGCGAACTTGAACGCTGCAAATTACTTACTCATCCTATTACATATCCATCTGTCAATCTTACATATCTCCTTGACTCCAGGGGCTCTCTGCCACGCGGTGAGTGCACACCGACTTTAAGAAGTGCGTTCCCGTTGATATGGACCTGGGATGCTACTCAAAATATCCGCTAACCTAATCTAGAAAATGTAGACATCCAAAAGACACCCAAGGCAGAATTTCGGCACGTTTTGAGATGCATCTATCTAGAAACCTAGTATATGTCATCCGGAACGATGGCTGACAATGTCTTTCCGCTCCGCTACTATACAGAATTACCAAGAAAGTCCCCTCGTTACTCATCAAGCTGCATAATCTTTTTGTGGGGTAGCGAGGTCACGTTTTTCAGCGTTCCGCTAATCAGAACATTTTAATACCTCATTTGGCTCTTTTTTCTTGGCGAATTGATTTTCTCCTGCTTATGTAGTATTACTTAAAAGATGCCAAATGGACCCGGTGGAGTTAGTTCTTAGAGTATCGAGACTATGGGTGGCTGACAGGGGCTGGGTTCCCGTACCACCTGCATGAGAGTTGTTTATTATCGAGCCTCAACTTTAAACTGGCCTAAGAAAAGAGCAGTCTCTACTTTTGAAGACGAGTACCATATCGGCGTTTACTAAAACTCATTCTCTGTTGTAACGCTATATTAACCTATAATACATTCACGATTTATTAGGTGTCTTTCTACGAGTTCAATGGCCTATACTCCTATGGTTTCCTACTGCTTAGGTAACTACACTTAGGCTTTTTTCATGCATATGCAGAATCTCGAGAACCCTGTCATATACTTACCGAAACTTGTTGTGCAGATCTAGTGGATTTTCTGAGCCGAGTTACTTCAACCAAATCTCGACGTGCAAGGATATTTTCAAATGAATCTCGTTCCAAATTCTCTTGTCTCGGTCCATCTGCACTATATTTCATGGGTATGAGGGGCAATTTGACAAACAGCCATGCACATGTTGATTACTACCATGTAGTCTTTTGACCATGTGTTCTCGGACGACAATCGAGCGGAGATTGATCTTTGTGACTGGACGCAATAGCCAGTTGTATTGGTAGAGAGATTGGTATATAAAGGTGTGAGCTCTTCTCCAAGAATGCTTTTCGTTCTCCATCCTCAACTCCTCACTACTTCTCTCATCCAAACGAGTCTTCTTTTCTGACCGACTTTGTCAAATCTCAACACTCAGCTTCAAAACTAAAGTCTTCCCAAAATGAGATCTCAATTCATTTCTACCGTGGCCTTAGTAAGTGCAACAGTTGCTCAAGGTTAGACTTCACTTTCAGATGAAACTTGTGAATGTTTGCTTATTATCATGACCAGGGTTCAAATTTGTTCGGCTCAACAAAACCGATGCAGTAAGTGGCCAAAATTTGTTTATTCTTTTCTAAATACTAACCTAACTACTAAGGCACTCCTTGTTGTTGACCACCAGATTGGTCTCGCTCAAATTGTTCGCGACATTGAGCCAGCAGCATTTAGACAAAATATACTCGCCCACGCTGCTCTTGGAAACCTCTTCAATCTACCAACAATCTTAACTACTTCAGCAGAGACTGGTATGCCTACCACCTTAATTCCATCTTCTGTCTGCTTACTAACCTGATGTAGGACCAAATGGACAACTCCCACAAGAAATCATTGATGTGAGAAATGGCGTCTAGCTTAAAGCTGAACTTCCAACTAATAAGAGTAGATGCACCCAAATGCCCCATTCATTAGAAGAAACGGGGAGGTCGACGCTTGGGATAATCCAGAATTTAAAGCCGCAGTCAAAGCCACAGGGAAAAGCCAAATGATCATCGCTGGAATTACAACTGAAGTTTGTAAGTAACCTCATAAAACCTCTCCAGAAGTTCAATTTCCCAACAAGGTTTCTCAAATAGGCACCTCTTTCCTTGCTCTATCTCTTATCGAGGAAGGATACGAAGTCTTCGCCAACACCGACGCCTCGGGCACATTCAGTGATAAGATCGCCGCAGATGCGAACCGAAGAATGGAGAGCGCTGGTGTTCAACTCATGGGAATGTTTGGCATTGCTATGGATTTGATGAGAGACTGGAGAAATACTCCTGGTACTGCGGAGGTGCTTCCTTTCATGGACAAGTGAGTTTCTAATCTGAGGCTTGAGGGAGAGAAAGTGCTGACTTTTATTAGATACTTGATTCCTTATGGACTGGTTGCTCGTGCTCATGGAAATGCCATTACTAATGGAACTATTGTTCCTGGCGAGGCACAGATTATCTAGTACTTGTGAATTGAAAGCAAGAGAACTGGTGCCTTGGGAGAAGATAAGGAAGGAAATTTTGAGATCATACGAGGGGGATAGTAATAGACATATAGGCAACATAGACTTTTGGCGAGACAGACCTGGGCATCGATATATCGATGCCATATCGGGGGGGTACTCGATATATATCGTATCGGAAATATATAGACGATACGATATCGCCAAGAATCCGATAATCGATATAATATCGATTATCTGACACGTGACGTGGAAAATCTATAAATCCGGCCCGGACCAATAGAAAGACCTCAGGGGGCCTATTAATAATACTATCATAAAACGCTCTAAGTTTAGCTTATTTTTAAGTTCGTAGTTTAAGGTTAACTTATAAAAGTAACTTATTCAAATCTTCTAGTTCATAGTTTATTATTATTAAAGAGAGTCACGTTTTAGTCATGTGATCTAGTAGAAATACGTAATTTTCTTCTTTATATACTATATTTTGCCCTAAAAACACCCCTAAGAAACATCCTAAAAAACACCCTAAAGTATCGATAATTATCGATATCGTCAAATCTGATCCGATCGATACCGACATCGTGGAAATAAATATCGATATTATATCGCGATAAATATCGCGATAATCCGATATATGTCGCATCGACGCCCAGGTCTGTGGCGAGATAGTGTTTGGTTAAGAGTCGTATTTATGTTCAATCGTCAGTTGGTACACGTCACATCAAATGAGGCTTATTGTTAGTTTTGCTTTTGTATTACTAGCTAGCTTCAAGTGCTTATGATTCGCCCACATGTAGAGAAGTGGAAAGCGAAGTATAAGCACCCTCGGCCGTATTAAGCAGCGAGAAAGGAAGCAGCCACAAAACAAGGGGGGAAACCAAGAATAAGACGAAAAAGGGGCCCAAGGAAACAAGGAAGGACTATCCTTATTAAAATCTCCTAGCTAGTAGGCATATCCAACGCCTAATACTGGTATCCACCGCCTGATCTCCACCGCCTACCCTGTAAATATATATCCACCTCTCTCACATTTGTGTAACAAGTATAGGAAAACCCTGTAGGCCAAAACCACACCCAGAGAGCCCTCTTGCCTGGCGAATCTAGTCTATCATCTCCTTACCTAGCAAATACACATGCCATTCCAACCCACATCTGCTATGCCGACGAGAGGAGTGCGTCGGTAGTTAAGGATCGAGCTCAAAAGGAGTAAATCGAGCGTTTGTTCTAGTACCACTACTATCCTTACACATTTATATCGTACCTGTTGGATTGTAGGATTGTAGGAGTCGCATCGAGGACCAAATATAGAGGAAAAGAGCACAAAAGAGCTCACAATAGTGTAGCTGACGATATAGTGGATATTGTGGTGGTGGTGTTGAAGGCATGTGGTAGTAGTGGGGTGGGATATATATCCCACCATAGCTTACTAAGCCTTCATCCTCATTCACTATAAATCCTGCCATATGTGTGACGGTTCTGACCGCCACTACGCTACAGACCAGCCCCTGGCTGGAACCCTGCGGCAACCATGCTCCAGACCAGTCCCTGGCTGGAACTCAGCTAAGCAGGTGCGCTTGGCACACCTCCTGTATATAAGAGTCTCCAGCTCCTGAGCTTCTGTCCTTTATTCTCTTCTCTCCTCAGCTTAGAATCTTCGTATAGACAGTTCCACAGTGTCAATCTCACCACTCGTGATACCTGACGTAGTCGTGCACTCTTGCGCGATCCATCAGCTGTGCGTGTCGTCACAATATGATTTAATTTCTTAGAAGAAGTGTCTAAAATTTGATTATTAGCTATAACCTTTACTAATATTTTTTGTAACTAATAGTAAGCTCTAGAATCTCTATCTTTAATAAAAGCAAAACACTAGTATATATGCCTCTAAATAAGTAAGTTTATAATTTCTTATTCAAGAGGTTAAATAGGTAGAAATAATCCCTAAGTACGTTATAAGACTAAGTTTCACTTACTTTACACTGTTGTTAAATACTAAGATATAAAGTAGACATTACTAATCTAAATATTGAAATACATATAAAATGTTTAAAAGATATACTACTTTGGTAGTAAAGTTTTGTGTACTTTCTAAGTAGTTTTTCCATATTTTCAAAAGAATTAATTCGGTAGAATTTGTATCGTTATTAATCACCAGGTAGTACTCTACCAGTTAAACATTAACCCTTCCCCCCTCCCTTCCCGAAAACGCCCGCCTCATAGTAGCTGTCCCCTTCTAACCACCCCTCGCCCGTCCTAAACCAGAACGTAGGAAAGCATCGTAGACATTATATAAAAAGAAGACAACCGGAACTCATCGAACAGAAAGCAACTGCCAAGGTTCTAAGGTGATGTAAACAGCCATAGACGCCTGGCGAAAACAATTAAAAGCTAGAGATGACCGGCGAATGAACATGAATCGATCGAAGTTGCGGTGACCTGCTGGGAAAAAGTATGAGAACAGAGAATTAAACTGCGAGTTCTGGTCACCGAAAGGCCGTATAGAGTTTATTGCTTTGTATGGCCCCTGCCAGCACCACTTCAAAACTCGTGCTTAGGGTTCTCCCAATTCCTTGGCTTAGGTGGCGTTCGTGGGTTGTGAACAGGCTTTCTGCTCCAGGGGAATCTGAACTTAGTTTTAGGTTTTTTTGTAGCTGGCTTCCCAGGAACAGGTGATGATGGTTTGCCAAATCCCGGTCCTCTCTTTTGAATAACTTCATCATCGGGTTCCCATCTGATTTTCGATTCTTGGATTATGGGCTCATTATGTTTCTTCTGCGAAAGAGGAACGACAGCCACTTGATCAGGCTCCATTGCTGTTCTCAGCGGTGGATTTGTGGCTGTGTTGTATGTTCGGAGATAAACAGGCTCTGGAACGACTTCTGTTGACACTCCATCAGCCCCCGTTGCTGTTCCTAGCGGTGGAACAGTGGCCTTGTTGTATTCTTCAAGAGGAATTCCAGAGACGAAAGTGCAGAGAACTGCTGTAGCAGCAAAGATATTGGGAACCAACATAGTGAAAGTAGACGCGGATGGCTGAAGGCTGGAAATCAAAATTGTGGAAGATATAGACGAGAAAGAGGGTTGTGATGTGAATTGAAGAATTATTCTATTGTAAAACGAGTGTGATGGTTTTTGATAAATGTGGTGTGGTAAGCAGGTTAAATACCATAGGGACCGAAAGATAGCTAGCTAGCTATACATAAATTTAGTACCATTGAACATGATGTTGAGGTCCTAAATTTATCCGTAAAACCCAGCCATATGGGTTCTGGTGGATGTGATCTGCGAACCCACATCGGAGGTTCCTACTGGCAGAGATAGTAGAATATGGTTGGAAACTTGAGAATCATTCAGGAAGAAGATTAAAGCATCGAAACTTCGAGATTATACTGCTAAAAATAAAAATTCTACAATTTTTGGAGTTCTTGGCCATTAGGAATGGCCGGCTGTGGGTACGCGTCGATCGTATCCACTCACCTCATTATGGCCGAGCTTTTATGAGGGAAGAAGATAGAATCGTGAGCTCCCCCCAACTCCGTCTTAATATTGGAAGAGTAATAGAGTAGCCTATTTTCACCCTCGAATCGTTAATGATCCTAAGTTTTAAAGTCTAACTTGATGATTTCTGTTACTCTGGTCAGTAACAAACCCTGCCCGTGATGGCGCCGGTCTAACCATCATTTGACCCACCTTGACTTTGTTATAGTATCAACTTTTACGAAGTACTTTAATGCGTCACAATTAGAGGGCATTTTAACAAAATACCCTGAAATGTATATGTAAGAATAGTTGCGCTCTAGCATACAAAGAAGAAGAGTTTACATGCGTATATCTTCGGCGGAGATAAAAAATAGCGGGTCATTTTTTCATATGCGACTACTCCTACTGGCTGTAAATTACTCCGTACAACATCTATTACTGTAGGCTCTGGTATTCCTCCATGAATGATCAACTTGTGCGTTTCTTTCCCTTCCCATTATGATTTATAGTGAATGGCTAGTATTTACCATTGGTTATCCGCTACTTGGAATCTAAGAATCCTTGGGTACTAACAGTTTCTACGATGAAGATGTGCTATCTTTGCTAATTCAACTAATCTGTTAATTCAACAATAGCCTTTAGAAAAGAAAATTAACACCTTGCTCGTTCGTTATCAAGAAAAGGGATTTTTGGCCCTAAGAGAACCTGTCTAAACAACAACCAATGCCTTCTTTATCTAGGTACATTCTGTCACGCTTTGTGAATGCTCCTTACTAACGCCTCTTTTTCTCTCAAGCAATAATCCTCAAAACCCGTCATCTTAATACCAAACTTCCTCTCCAAAGCCTGTCCATCAATCGTAAGTGGCTTATTGATCGCCAATCTCTGAAAGGGCTGTGTCGTTGCTACCTGCTCCATAGCCACCTCCTCTTCTGCACTTCTCCTCCGTTGCGCAACTTCAAACCCCAGAACCTTACTCAAAGTCGTCCTCGCCTTCTCAATCGTCAAATTCTCATAACCCAACTCAATTTCCTCCTCCCGAAATTGCGCTGGCTTAAGAAACGCTGCCGCCGCAAACTTTCCAATATCTCGAGGATCTACGTGGCTCATTTCCGTCTCAGGTGGATAGAGGTGCGCCAGCTCAGCTTTCTCGCTAAGTTCAGGGAAATGATGAGAAGAGTGCGGGAGGATGTAATTGTGCATTATCCAAGCCGGGCGTAAGATAGTATAGTTCTCAAATCCGGCTGCCTTGAGTGCCTTTTCAACTTCGAATTTGCCCTTATAGTACAGATAGATATGAGAATCTGTTGGGTTATAATCCCAAATTGCCGGTGATCCGCAATAGAAGACGGTACTGAGGACGACAGTTCTGATCGTAGAGGTCGCCTTTGCGAGCGAGATAATAGCGTTTGCTTCACCGACGATTGTTGGAGTGGGAAAGGGGTTGTAGAATAATCCGGTGGCACCCGAGAGAGCGTCTTTGATGGTGTCAAGGGAATCAAAATCTCCTTCGAAAAGAACAGCCCCGATTTCTTGAAGAGCTTTTGCAACAGGGGCATTCACATCGCGAACGATTGCACGAACAGTCGCTCCTGCCGCAATAAGTGCTCGCGCTGTGCTTGAGCCTTGGGCACCGGTGGCAGCTGTAACGACATAAATTGGTGCCATTCTGATTGATTTTTGTTCAAATAAACAGCGGAATATTAGAAGTGATTTGATTCTGCTTTTTTATTATCACTTCTGTAGCAGCTCTTGTGTGGCGGAAACATATCAAACGAAAAAACGGAATTCCGGTAAAGTACTGCACCGACGGTATACGGCGTTAGGGATCCTCGGCCCTTATTCTACTGAATGCATGCCAAAGGTGACGTGATCATTCGCTCAATCGGTGTGGGATGTGGATGGTATAGTAAGATTTTCTGCCGTTGCTTGATCAGCAAGGTTACACTACTGGACTGGATTAGCTAAATATTTACGAGTGACGGGCAACACCCAAGGACAATATAAATTACCAGGCCATCTTTGACTAGATGTACGTCCATTTGCACAAATTCCTCCTGAAGCTATTTGTCGGTATATAATTATAGTGATTAGCACCTCGTACGAGAGCCTGGTGGTTCTACATGCTTGGTGTCATGTGAGTGGCTTGCCACTCACATACTTAAGCTCGTAGAGTACTGTAACAGATTTGATTCAGTGAATTCGAGGCTTGGTGTCGGGTAAATTTCGGAAACCAGGGCACTGTAGATAGTTAAGTAGCACTTCTGCTTGGAGAACTCTTCTCTCCTTGCAGACAATCTAATCATACACCCTGACAAGTACCACCTCTCTCCACCTTTACTCTTCACGAACAAATGAATACACCGATTTAGTTACCCCAACAGAGGGTGATCAGAATCCCGTATTCGCCGTCGTCACGACCACCAGGTCGTACCAACACTATTTATTTCATTCGCTTCGCTACGAATAAGAGCTCATCTTCTGCCATTCCCGAGTACAAAACCGCGGACCCATGTTGTTACTGTAGTCGCTGTGGTAGCTTAAGAACATTTGCAACCACGATATAATCCGCTGGTACAAATGTTGTTTATAGGAATACACCTGTTATTGCCGCAAGGTCCAATTCCAGTACAAACACTTTTGCAAGGGCAGCCGTCGTAGATGCCTGCAGTACGTACTCGTCCATATTCAAACGGGTCGTTTATCCCTTGACAATACGAACTACCACAGCTGACCGGGGGTGCACTTTGGCAGGTAGCTTTTGGCTCTGGCAAACTACTTGAAGTGCTTGAAACAACATCATCCAAGGGAGAATTCGACGCAGAAGGCAGTGAGGTGACAGAGGGAGACAAAGTTATGCTTGTTGCCGACGCTGTAGCGGTCACAGAGAGCAAAACAGTAGTTATTATGCCTTGGGTAAGTGTTGCATTGGAAGATAGGAGATTTGTGATCTGTGTTTCAGGTATCTGGTTCGTTTTTGAAGATGACGCTACTCTTTTAAAAGCATGTTAGAATTTGCGCATATGAACGGATTCAGGAAGCGAAGCTTATACCTGTCATTTCTATCACTACTGCTTTTCTCTCGTGGAATTCTAGCAACCAATACCCCGATAGTTATACAGATACCGCCAAAAACAATACCTCCCACGAAAAGCCAAAGATGACGCCTTCGTTGATATAGTGTGGATAATCGCGATGGAAGTGGGCCAGCTTTCTGACTTTCACTTTCTAAACTGGTGTCTGACGTGGAGAAGCTCAAGGGTGCCTTGTAGTTCTCTTTCGTGCTGTTTACTGGATATATATCTGAATGAACCGGAATAGTTTCTATTGAATTATATATAGGCACCTCGAGTCCATTGTAATGGGAAGCAGCTGCTAGTTCAAGACCTTCTCCCATTTGGCGACTGTTGATAGATGCTATTGTCGGCGTTTTGGAAAGCACACCCGGTGACCCGAGCAAGAAATTGTACAGCAATAAAGACCGCGAAGCAGAATTAATGAGCTAGCATAGCAAACATATATTCCATAAGTTTGGAAAAGAAAAGGGGGCATGGGCCTATTAGGCACAATCCTCGTATCCCACATTAATCTGTTAAAGGAGAAACTAGTATCTTACCGTACAGTACAGGTGCCGAGGGAACCCGTAAGCTGAATTTCCAAAGCTGTAGCCTGTGGAAATCCTACGCCCCCAAGCACATAAACTGTACTTATGAAGGACATGGGTTTTGGCTAAGGCCAGCCAATGAGAGCCGCATAGCCGTAAAGGGCTATGAAGAGGAGTCGAGGGGTTTTCATTATAAAACTACGTCGAAGGATTTCATCCTGAAATGAAGTTAACTGTGCCACGCGGGTACAGTGAAAGACCCACTCTGGCCTTGAATCTTAGGTTTTCGTGTTACAAGGTCTACCTTTTTTTGGACCCGGTCTTTCTAAGATTATTCGTGTTATAAATACTTGTCAAGTTTCAAAAGACATCAGGGAGGACAAGTCTGTGAAAACAAATTTCAATATAATGGTAACCTAGAACCTAACATAAATAGGTATAAGTTATATCTATTCGCTTAACGCCTGTCTAAATGCTTTCTCTGCCTTTCGGTTCGCCCACGTAGCTTCTGCCCGCAGAGGGCCCTAGAATCATCTAACTATGCGCGTATGCTTGACTCTACCATAAACTTAACCAAAGCAGAACTCGGGATTGCCGCGATATTCAATAGAATGGTCGACCGCAAAGATACTTCTTTCCGTACCAGGCATTTTCTAGAAAATTATAAGCTTCTTCTGTAGCACTTCGCTTGTCTGCCGAACAATCACCCTAGCCTTACTTCCAGGCTCCATCTAGCACGCAGGAATAAGCCTGTACTGATTCGCACGACGGCAACGATAGGAAAACTTCAAGAGCCAATATTGGTGCATCAGTACCGGAAATGCCCAGATTCTATGCGAAAGGTAGTGGCTGGTGTAGGGACTTTTATTAGATAGCAATGAACCAAATTCCAGTACCACATCACACAACTTTTTCGAGGAAAAATTTTCTTCGAATTCCATCAATCCCGCTCAACCAAACGATAGCAGCTAGAATTTCAACCA